CTTCATACAATGGGTTTTCATGACCAGGCAGCTGACCAAGCTGCCTTCATGACCAAGCTTTACATCACAAAGCACAACAAACCGTCAGATTCAGTAGTATAAAGCACACACTGGACTCTAGAGCATAGACGATTCATGCTTATCCATATGGCAATCTGATGAATGATTCTGGATTTGGTGGATGTCAGGAGAACGGTACTTGTCTGGCTACATTGTGCCAAGTCTAAAGTTTGGTAGAGGGGAGATTATAGAGCGAGTTTGGTGTGGAAGAAGTTGACTCTTCTGACCTCAACACAATCAAACACCTTTGGGATTAATTACAGCAGAGACTGAGAGGCAGACCTCATGGATGTACTTCTGGAAAAATGGTCAAAGTTTCCCATAAACACTACTAAACCTGTGGAAAGTCTTCCCAGAAGAGCTGAAGCTGTTATAGCTGCAATGGTGGGTTGACATCACATTAAAACCTATTGATTAAGAATGGAATGTCACTCAAGTTCATATGTGTGTGAAGGAAGACAAGCATTTTTTTATTTTTATTTTTTTGCAATGTAGTATTTAAGGTATCTTTATATGCACATGCCATAACATTCCCACCATGTTTGAAGGTAATGTGGTATTCTGTATCATTCTTGTACAAGTTCATCTTGTTTTCATCTGTTCATAGAATTTCCCAGAACTGTGAAGGCTCTTTTAGATGTTTTCTGCCAAAGTCTAATCTGTAACAAGTAGTTTTCACCTCATGATAAACTTTCTGTGTTTTTCATTCCTGAAAGCCTCTTTTGATTGTAAATTTGAACAATATGTCTGCCTCCTCATAAGTGTGCTGACTTGGTTAGATGTTGTGAAGTTGTTTTTGTTAACCATCAAAATAATTCTGCCCTCATGCACTTTAGCTTCTTTAACATCTTCTGTGGTCTTTCAGACATTTTTACTTAGCTGGTCAGTGTATTTGTTCTTTTTAACAGTGCAACAGATTATTGATTTGGGGCTACTACTGATGTTTCTGCTGTGTATGTGATAGCTTTATTTTGTTTTTTCAGCCAAATGAAAACCTCTTTCAGTTGAACTGCCCTTTATTTCGGTCTCGTATTTAGTTACCTATGAATGGAAATTCATCCCTTCATCTATACGCTTCATTTGTTGTGAAGTAAAAAGTAAAAGTCCTCAGCCGCCATGAAACTGATTGACAGCCTCAATATAGCAGCTCAATAATTCTGGAGCCTCTGAAAATTGAGGGGGAGGACTAACATGTGTAAATTCCTGTAATTCCTAAACAGTTAATCCAAAACTTTTGCTAAACCCCTTGAATTAAAGGGTGAAAGTAGTGATTTGTATGTGTGGAAGTATACACTCTAATCGGAAAAAGCATCTGGACTGATGAGTTTCTTAAAACTCAAACTCAAAGTAGTCCAGACACTTTTTTTTGCCCA